TGCTGGTGAGGAAAGTGGTAAACAGATAAGGAGGTCATTATAAAGATAATTGGAAGTACATCCCTGTGTAGCATCATTAAAATGTAAAGAGATTCAAAATGGTGTAAATATACGTCACATGTAAATTGATGATTTAAAGTAATATTTTAGCTCATTTTTAAAATGAAACACTAAATGTTTAGACTGCAAATACTTTTTAAAAAATACAGCAGGTGCTACAGTAGGAACTCCATGTGACCAAAGACAAACAAATAAACAGATTGTATATACATTGTATAACCAGTTCATTTCTTTTTGTTGTTGTTTTAGTGGGTTCAGTCCTCCTCAACAAGGAGGCAAATATTTCACAAAACGTCTGGAGAGACGTTGTATCAATCTTCGGATGCTTTTTGCCAGAGGAGGTTGTGTTTCACCTTCTCTCTTGTGGCAAAGGTGTTCTGTTCCATTCAAGTAATAGTCTCTATGTCATCTAAAAGTACAAGCCTGCTTTTTCTTTGGAAACCTTTGTGTAAGTTTGGTGGCATGTTTTGGGTTTTCATCATGAGACCTGTGGCCACAGGCATTCATGAATGATGGCACCATGAATGGTACCATCTAAAAATGTCATCTCCTCAACAGCCTGTTGTCACACTTCACTTCCATCTCTGTTCTTCTCTCCACATCCACAACAAACAGTTTCATGCCAAAGAGAAAGAAGGCAGTTGTTTATTGTTGGCCATCCATCAGAAACTCAGATTTCTACTGAAAAAAGGTTGAAAGTTGAAAAAACAAATTGAAAATATGCTGGAATTGCCAACAAGGAAGTGTAAAGGCTGAGTGACAGCAGTTTATAGTAGGCCATAATGAGTTTGAATCAAAAACTGTTTTATATGTCCTGTTAAAAACAAACAATTTCACAGTAGGCGTATCTTTTCTCTTGTCCTTTTTAAAAAAAAAAAAATATATATATTTGAAATCCTGGTGGCCCTCCACATCCATTCTAATTATTATGCTGTTTTTGGTCTATTTAAAAGCAAAATTCCACATTACAGGAAATATCCAAGTAGTTTTAATGTTCCCACATTAAAACATTAAAACAAAATATTAATGACATTATTACTGTCACAATTATCAGAGGGACCCATAAGATTATATTGTGTAATATCAGCTGTACAGACATTTGAGCATATCCCAACATTTAGAAATTTGTGTGAAAGCCTCACTTTCAAACATGTATCCTACTAGTGATTGCAAACACATGCTTACTGTAATAGAAACAAAGCTAAAGAAATTGAATTGTATCAGCCAATAAAGTTTGAAATTATAAATAAAAATATTTTACAAAGATAACAGTGTAAAGATAACTGCGCCTCATGAGGAAGTCATGACTTGGTTACCATCAGTGCATCCCTACAGGGCTTTTCTGTTCATAATATGGAGGCGTAGTTTAGTCTGTTGTGTTATATAAATGCATGTGATAGCCTGTTGTGCGTTTTAGCGTAGGTTGGCATCTCTGTCTCCTTCCTTAGCGCTTGTGTTTTTTTTGTGTGTAAAATCCCCGGCTGGATGAATCCTAAACCTCATGCTGAAAAGTATCTGATTTAGAGTCGGGTAGCTTTTGTTTGCCACATACTTGAGACATTCTTCAGCACATGTGTCATTTCAGCCAAGTAACTCTTCTTGAAACTCCACCTCTCTACTTTATGGGCACCATTATTCATTTCATGGGTTACGCAGCGTTTAATTGGTCAGGGAACACATCCTCCAAACAAATGATAGTATTAGATATATCTAATACCTGCCGTGGGCTGGTGTGAGCATGGGTACAGCTGCACAAACACATCAAGTGTCATGCTCCTGGGTGAACGACCCAGCATTTTGAGTTTTGGGATGTTTCAAGTTTCAACTCATGAGTTGTTCTTTTGGATTTTGAGATGAGGTTTATGTTCTAGCTCTGTATCCAGTCCTTTCAGAATAATATTGTTTCCTTGTGCTTCTTAGTTTTCCGTTGTTTGCAGTCTGTGTTTGTCATTAGTATATGTAACCTTGAGTTATCCTCTTTTGTGTTCCTTTTCTATCTCCCCAGTCAGTTGTGTTTGTTTATCTCCTGTCCTTGTACAAAATTCCGGTCTTAGTTTGGTCTCAGTGTTTGTTATTTTGATAGTCGTTTGTCCTGTATGTTGTGTTTCGTTTTGCTTCGTTTGTCTGCTCCCTTTCAGCCTGGCGTGTTTATATCGTCTGCGTCTATGTCCTTTGTTGAATTGTCTGTCAGTCTGTGTGCGTTTGTTCTGCATGTTCCTAGTTAGTCCTCACGTTGTTCCCGGTCTTTGTTATATTAACTTCAACAGCAATAAAGCTGTTGTTGAGTTTAGACCTTGTCTTTCGAGTCCTGCAATTTGGGTCCCATTCTGCCTGAGACACAGCGAGCCTTGACCTCATGTTTCTTCTTTACTGTGCATAGTCTCATATAAATTTGGCGTACATCCATCAAAGTCTTCAAGTTTGACTAAATGACTTATTGATCAAAACCTGAGAAAAAGTCGAAACCATGGCTCTTACAAATGTGTTGTATATTGTCAACATGTAGAAACCACCAGTGTTGGGGAGTAACGGAATACATGTACCGCCGTTACGTATTTAAAATACAAAATATGAGTAACTGTATTCCGTTACAGTTACAGTTTAAAAAGGTGGTATTCAGAATACAGTTACTTTGTTGAAATAAATGGATTACACTGCGGTACTTTCCTGTTTCATTTTGTCGCGGGTCAGGACTGTTTGGGTTTTGTTTGACAGCTACGTTCTGTTGTTCCAGGCGGCAGCGTTACGGTTGCCATGGTTACAGGGCGACGCTCTCTCTCTCTCTGCGACTGTGTGTTTCCTGGGTGAGAGCGCGCTGTTGTTGTTGTTGTGCTAAGCTAACAGGCAGAATGCTACAAGCATAGCTCTAAAGAATGTAGCATCATGGGCAGTGTAGTCCGTGCTGCAGGGAGAATGGACTGCCATACACGTTATGGGTCTGTGAGCGCGAGGAGGGAGAAAAAGGGGAGTGGAAAGGTACGAGCAGTCATCGAGGAAAAACGGGAGCTGGAAGCATGTAAATATAATAATAACCACTGCAGCCAAGAAGAGTGCCTGACGAGCCCAGTTGTAAGTAAGCTATTAAGACTCGACTGTACACTGTGTTCGTGTTTTCCTCCGAAACAATAAGTTCCGTTGGAGCAGCCTTTCAACGCCTCTCTCTGTCTCTTGCAAGAAAAGTTGACCCACACAACAAAGTAAAGCTATTTTTTCGGCTACGAGCCGACAGGGACCCCGCCGTATTAGTCAGAGGTCCCTTTACTACAGTTCGGAGTCGCGGACCTTCAGTAATAGTAATAAATCACACAGCAATAGTACATTCACGTTGTTGTAAAAAGCATGATAATATATTAAGTAATCCAAAGTATTCAGAATACGTTACTGTCATTGAGTAACGTAACGGAATACGTTACAGAATACATTTTCTGTATTCTGTAATGGAATACATTTTAAAAGTAACCTTCCCAACACTGGAAACCACCAAATACAGATTTAAAATATCATGTCACATTTAAACTCCAACTCAAGTAACCTATATTCAACAACAGCATAATAAAACAGGAAATTATATTTTCTGTGTGCCACCCCAATATTCAGGGGCCTCCATATGGCCACCCCTATGTAGAAAATCTGGAGACACCCCTGCTGACTGGTAAAAATAATTATTTAATGTTTTACAACAAATATTAACATCTTTGAGATTAGTTATTTCAGAATGAAATCAGTTTGTAGAACACCAGATGTGCCAGTTGACTACCACTGGACATCTGTTTATATGATTATTGCCAGTTGGTCAGTTCTCCGTTGCTCTAGTTGTGTTTCTCTACTTCTTTTCTTTCCAACACAAAGCTTTAACTGTGTTTTGGCATTCATTGCTTCAATTTAAAAGATGCTGACGTAGAGAAAGGTGGAAAATCAGGAGGATAACAGGGGATATTAGATGTAACAAAAGATGTTCTAATCCCAATTTGTCAGTGTTTGTGTTACAGTGAAAACTTATATTCTTCCTTTGTGTTATTTCATATCGTCCCAGCAGGATCTTTAGTCAGCTAAAATGCAGTCACAATGAGACCACAGACAGACAGATATACAACTTTTAAGTAATATCTTAGTGGAAGATCAATTTCAGGATCTTACCCTGATCATTTTCAGGAAAATCTTGGGTGTAATTTCAATTTAATTTCAGTTTTATCCGTAACAAATCACAACAGCAGTTGCATCGAGGTGCCTTATATTGTGAGGTAACTCCAACAATCAGACAAATCAAACAAATAATTTAAATACTGACAGACTGACTTTACACAGCGTTGTGATGCAGAACAATTTGCTTTATTTTTTTTTATCATCTGTCATCTGGGAGAAAACAAATCCAATGAAAGCTGGTGTGACATTCAATATTTCTCTGGCAATATGATCAGATGAGTCATCCACAGACTCCATGAGACGGATCCCTGTTGCCCCACGTTCAAGCTTCACAACCGGGAGACATCAAACTGAAGCCATATGGAGGTCCTCTACTTGGAGAAGTCCTAATATACTGTTTTAAAATTTGAATGATTACTGCTATGACACGTTTAAGTCGGGCCTCAGCATAATGTTTCAAGCTTTGTTTCTTTTCCATATTTAATAGTCGTCATTTCTTGTTTTTTTCACAGTGTAACTTCTAACTGAAACAGGACACATGAAACATGAGGAGTCGAGGAGCCAATAGTAAAACACTTATTCTTTTTTTTTTTTAAATGCAGCAAAATTTTAAAATAATATATCTTAATAGCGCTCAGTAAATGCTCACATAATTTTTTTTCCCTGTTTTTCAAGTTCGTTTATCTTTGAATTTAATATTTATTTTTAAGCTTATTAGTTAACAGATATTCATTTTATTGGATATTAATTATTATCAGTGTCATCGTGGTATACAGAGTCTTCACAGTTATCACTGGTGTAAACATCGGCCTCTGTCCTTTTTGCTGTGTTGGTGGTCGGGGTGTTCACACTGGGAGAAAAAGGCAGGAGAAGTTCATCTTAGTAAAAACAAGAATCCTTTGTGGAACATTATACTCTAGAAATCACACTACAGCTATAGCGTACAGAGTCTGAGGCTATTTTACAGCCACTCGTAACAGACACAATAACATGGGCGTGTCATCATCTCCAGGTTTCCAAGATGTGATGTGAACAACGTTGAATGAGAAACAACAAACTCACCACAGTTAATTCACACTTCGTCTCGCACGAGAAATTACTGAGGAAAGAAAGAGACGGCATTTTAACAATAGCTCAAAGCCAAAGAGGAAACAGCTAGCAAAATGTAAATAGTTTTTTTATGGTTGTGTTTTTAAACAATGATATTCAGAAGTAACACCTCATGAACAAAATATATTAATATAGAAACAAACTTTTAAATGACATAGTTGGATTCTACCTAAGGATGGAGTCAGTAGATGTTTCTCTCTTTTTTCTGTCTTTATGCTAAACTACGAGACTTCCGGCTTTAGCCAATGAAATTCTTTTTGAGTGGTAGAAACAAACTAAAAGATACAATCAGTGTGTAACTATCATTGTTTTAGGTATAAGATGATACGTACCCATGCCAGCGTTACTTCCAGGGCAGGGAACTAAGGATAAATGAAAAGTGTAAAAGCAGCTGTTAGAATCGACTCGTTATACAAATTTAAAAATCAGAGTAAATGCGCTCCTTGAATTTTGTTCCCACCTGAGTACGTCCTGGGCTGGCAGAAGGTGACTTTGCTCCCGTACTTTTCCACAGGTGCCGCCACCACTGTGTAGACATCCCCACATGTTTCCTCCTGGATGTCACAGTACATGCTGCCTGCAGCTGCCATACAGGTGTAGTTTGCTCCGGTGCCATACAGCTCCACTGTGTGATTATAGATCTGAGGGCCGAGCGAACGCCAGTATACCCTCAGGGTGTTGTTGGTCCTGCGATAGAGCTTGACCCCTGTTGGGCAGCAGGCACCTGTAAAAGAGTGAGTGTAGAGTTGTGCTTTTGTAAAAAAAAATCTTTTTTAACAGTGTGAAGATTTCTACTTTTCCCTCCATTAGATGTAAAAATATTACAAATGTGTTTGTATTTATCGATCCTCACTGGAAGAGAATCCACGATATTTGCACTCTGACTTCTGTCCTGTGCTGCTGATTGCTTCCAGGTTGACGCTGTAGTTGGTTCCACAGGTGATGCACCCCATCAGGCAGTGGGTGTCTAGAGTGTGGCATTTGGCATACCCCCGTGGTGATGTCAGGGAGGTAATGAATGAGCGAGCTCCAGTGCTAGGTGACCAGGTCACATTGGTCATAGCCTGGGTGACCTGGGTCACGTTCACTGACATGGGGCAGCAAGGGCCTTAAGGGAAGAATACAGAACAGATTTAAGTATGGGAGGATTTTTAGATTCCTAGATTCAGTACATGTCATGCCTCCTCATGAGAAGCATCCACATTGGTGTTTTGCGTATAAACTTGAGAACTAATTCATTTAATTTAATGAATGACAGAAGCTTTTGGCAGATGTCTAACTGTTGATAACCTTAAAAGCAGAGACCAGCTTTAGCTCGATGCAACTTTAGCATATGGCTCAAATTAAAGTTGCTGTTTGGTGGACCAATTGTACATTTTGTTGTGGGGTTTAACAGCGTAACCAATCAGACTGTCATACCTGTTTCCAAAGTTTTACTGAATCCTGGCAGACTTTTCCCCACAGCTGTTGTGGCCACTGCTGTAACCTCGTAGACCGAGCCGCAGGGTAGTTGCGTGAGCACACAGGAGCTGTTCGTCGACTGGCAGCTTTGTCTGTCATAGCGTCCAGTGGCAGTGATGGTATAATTCGTGTTGGGGGTGTTGGGTGTGGTGAAGAGGATTCTGTATGTGGAACTGTTTGTCTGAGTCATATTCAGGATCTCTGGAGTGCAGGGAGCTGCAGCAAGACACACATAAAAGAGTTGGTCACTTCAAAATTACAGAGATACAAATACAGAGTGAAACATTACTGCAAAAGAAGAAATAGAAAGTTTGGAAAATGTACTGATTCATACTTGTAATTCTGTTCACATTAGTAGACAAAATGTGAAGCAACTGGTATTTTCTAGTAGCTTAGCTAAATAAAAACCAGAACCATAGGAAGAAAACTTGCCCCATATCAAGAGAAGAGAAGAGAAGAGAAGAGAAGAGAAGAGGCTTTCTCCTGGTGACCCTTCTACACAAACCATACTTGTTCAGTCTTTTTCAAATTGTGCTGTGATAACGTGTAACTTTTAACATGCTTTGGATTTTTTTAGCTTCACTGAGCGATGCACAGTCTGAGCTTCAGATGAATTTGCACACAATTTGTGTGTTTCATAAAAACAGTCACTCTTCAGTGTTTAAATTACCTGTCTCATGCGTTTGCGGCTTGCAGGTGCGGTTGCATCCTCGTAAATCGCTGCAAGGTGTCACAGTCACAGAATAAGCTGTGTTGCAACTCAAATCTGAGAGCGCGCACACCGGTGCTGTGTCGTTGCAGTGGATGACGTCTTTAGTCTGTGCTGCTGTCGTCTCATACAGTTCAGCTCCTTTGACTGGTGTCCACATGACTTCCAGGGTCTCCGTAGAAACCAGCTTTATCATAACATCCAGTGGGCAACAAGGGACTGAGGAGGAGGCGGAGAGAAGAAACTAATTAAAAATAATTTAAAAAACAGGCAAATAACCACACACAGCCAACTGTGAGTTTCTCTTAGTTTAGTCATAAAACTGCTGTAGCTTTAAAGTTGGGTTATACATTTTGTCTGCACTTCTTATAGGAAAAGTGGGCTTTTCCTGTCATGACAACTCAGGCTTAATCATGAAAATGACTTTTTTCTTAAACAATAGCAGCATAGTAGTTACTTCAGAGATGTTTACCTTTAGTTCCGACAAAGGACTTTTGAAATGAGGAAAAAATCCCATAAGAAACAAGCATAAACAAAAGCACTGGCCTGATCCTATAGGATGCGATTGGATGGATAGTGCTGGGTTGGAGTAGACTGTGTTAATAGTGGTGCTGCTGTATATGTGGGTGCTTTTGTGTGAAAGTCATACTGGTAGTGTAGTTGCGGACGTGTCCATAAGGGCTGGAGCCGGCCTGGTTGTAGGGGAATACGGTAGTGAGGTAGGTGTAGCCACACATGCAGGAAAATGGGCAGGTGGTTAAACTGGTGTTACAGAACGTCTCCATTCCATCATCCCGCTTTATGAACGCCATGTAGTACTCCACCAGTGGCACTCCGTCCCACATCACGGAGCAGTTACCTGCTCTGGGCTCCTCCACCCAGATGTTCTCTGGCGGACATGGGTCTGTCAGAGAGAGACAATGGTCCTCAATGGTCCTTGAGTAATAACAGTAATAGACTTCACATGTCAAAGACTCCATGTGATCAAATATGCTTATTGGTTTTCATTAGGAGAGCTTGATGATCTGGTCACATCTGTAAAAGGCTTGTGGCTAACAGCTAAATGAATTCAAGATTATTCTTTTTTTCACTAAATTCACAAAGATTTAGCACAGGTCAGCTGATCACAGCCTGAACACTAAATCTGGAGCAACAGAAATTATTGTGTTTTCCTTTGTCACAGAAAAGTTCCAGTTGCAATTCCTTTTAGTCAGCTTGAGGCGGGTTCAAAAACTGAGCCAATCCCCATGGACTCCCATGATAAAATGTTTAGTTTTACAGCAGAGCACAGGGTGCTTAAAAGAACAACAACAACAACAAATCTAAAAAACAGCTAATTTAGTTCTTCGTGACATTAATAGATCTTCTTTTAAGGTATAAATTTGCATTCACAGCTAGTGTAGTTCATTTGAGAACAATGGGCTTCGCTTGAGCTAATTACAACCAAGAGCAGGATTTCTCAATATTGAAATTCTAGTATTTTATTTCAATGTTACTGAGAGCTAATTTCAAAAGTTTTGAGAGTGCTTTAAATGAATAATAGTATAAGACAAACAACCATACATTACGAATGATATACCCACATGTTATGTAGTTAGCCGGTTCAGAGGGGCTGCTGGGTCCAGCATCGTTATAGGCTATGACATAGACTGAGTGGTTTTGTCCACAATCTGCAGGATTAATGTAACAGTAACTGTTTTCTGTGGAACAGTTTTGGCCATTAGAGGTCCAGACTAAGTAGAGATTAGCACCCCTCACTTGTGACCAGAATACAGCAATCCCAAGAGCCCGTCCTGGAGTCACCTGAACGTGAGTCACATCTGGGCTCTGAGGACCTGGAAATGAAACCACAATGAAATCAATAACAGCAGTCATGACTGGTCCTCTGGTACGGGTTCAAATGTTTATCAGCCTAATTTTTGAGAAGGTTTCTTACGTGTAATTTGACAGACAGTGACATCATCACCAGTGCGACCCTCAGAGTCCCATGCCGTGCCCTTAATACAGTATGTAGTTCCTGGTTCAAGGTTATCAAACTTCACCGTGGTGTCAGTGGTGTTGAGTTTGAGGCGCGTGTTGGATCCCTCTCTGATGATGACCAGTGTGTAGAGGACGGCGTCCTTCACTGGGTCCCAGGTCACAAGGATGGTGCCATTGGTAGGAGAGGATGTGTTCAAGTTGGGAGCCATTACAACTGCAGATGTGATCAGGGGGAGAAGTTAATGGGATTAATGGGGAATAAAAACAAACAAACCAACAAAGAGACCTTACTTCTCCTCTCCCTGTTCCCATTTCTTTATAAGATATGAAATAGAAACTACTTTCCTGTGATCCTGTTACATTCAGTTACCCTTCAGGATGTGAGACAACCTAGTTCTCATGGTTTCTCTTTTCACTTATGAAACCACCATGGAGCAGCGAGTGGATACAGTTTCCACCCTCGTGCTAGTTGCAACGACTTGGGCACCCATGACAATGGGCGGTGAAATGGTAAGCCACTATTGCCAGTGGAGTGAGATAACAAGTTATTGTTCTAAGGAGGAACAGAAACCTGTGTTTCACTCTTTATAGGCTGATTACCATCTTTACGGTAAAGTGGAACTAGAAGATAGTTATAAGTGCACTGTCAGTCACACCCGACTTGGCCCTCTCAGAATCAGCTGATGCTTTTGTACTGACGGCATCCAAATTTTTACTTTCATATTATTAAAATTTCTGAGTTACATGACCTCAAGGTACAACATTTCACTGCTGAAAATTATATTTAACTTATGCTTTTAATTTACATGGAACAGTCTGATTATTTCTTCTAATTTAGCTCGTTTCAGATATTGACGTACCTGTCCTGGCCTCTGTGGGGTAGGATGGCTGGCTTCTCCCGCCTAAGTTGACGGACATGACGCTGAGGACGTAGTCTGTGTATGGCTGGAGCTCCACCATGGTACCTGGAGAGCTGCTCACAGTGCTCTCCTTGAAGAAATCACCTGTCTTTGACTCTGCCCTCAGAATGTAGCTGGTCGCCCCAGATACCTCTGTGAACTCAACAGTGATGCTGTCGCTGTTTTTGGAGTAGGCTTGCCCAATGCTGGGTACATCAGGGGCTAAGGAACAGATGGTAGATGTCAGTCAGATAGATTCCAAAATAAAAGCTTTTCTATTTATAAGAGAAGTACAATGTATCACTGAAATACAAAACAAACAAACAAACAAAAAACATCTTTTGGGTTATTATTATCAGAATTTCTACCTACTAACATATATTTCTTAAAAAATAACTCAAATTTGAGAAACTAACTTCAAATTTCAAGTTCCAAATAAGAATTTTGAGACAATAATCCAAACTATAGATTTATTGATGACGACATGTTTTTCTTTTTCAGAAGCAAAAACAATTTTCCATAACAACTCCTGTAAGAATGCCATCTACAATGTTATAGATGCAGCAGTTGACCACCACTACCAAATTTAAGTGCAGCTCTCAATAAAGTCTCCTTTTTACATTATAGTTTACTACATGTAAAAAAAATAAACATTTACATTCTTACATTTATACATATTTATTCACATGTTACTGACAATTTGCACACTAAGATTTTATTTGAAAATTCTGAAATGACTGCATAGGGATACAGTTTATTATTTCCTCACATTTTCAGAAAAGCCTCTTGAGGCCTGAGCGCTTGGTTGGAGTGGGTTTCAAATATCTCTTTGATATTCGAGGTTAGTTGAGTCCAATAAATATAAAACTTATTTCTATACTAAAAAGCCAAAATGTAATGTCTTCAAATGAGAACACGGCGTCTCAGGAGGATAACAAAAACGATTGTGTTGTCTATGGAAATATTGGAAAATGTGCAGCATAATTTGAAACGGCTGAAAGAGTTGTCTGAAATGTTTTTCTGGCTGTTCCATGTAACAAAGAGTGATGATATAAAAAAGAGAAAAACAGCAGAAAAAATGTAACAAGAACATTTTCACTTTTAATTAAACCATGTTTGACCAAAGTATTTTGGGTACCGTATTTCATAACTATTAAATAGAGCTATTTAACAACAACACAGTACAAGTAAACTATCTCATTAATATATGCACTAAAATAAATAGATACTTTTGTTAATTTATAATGCAAATTTTTTTTAATTACATTTAAATTTTCCACGTATTTTTTTTTTTTACACAGATACACTGTAAAACGTTACACTGACTGATACATTTCATTCTAGTCAAATGAAATGTACTTTATTGTTGGTGTGTAATCAGTTGATGACAAGAACATTTTCCTTAATTTCTCACTATATGAATAAATAAACCTTTGATTTTCTATATTTTAAGTTTTATGTCACTCAAAATTATTGCTTCGTGTTTATTTATCAATAAAGGTTTGCCCCTTTCTGTTTTTTCTGATGTTACCAACCTGTCGTCTCCTCAGTCTTTGCACTGCTGAGCACTCTGAGATTATTGTCCATAGCTTCTAACTGCATGGTGTACACCGTGTTTGGTGACAGGGAGTTAACTGAGCCCATGACTGTGTTGCCACCGAACTGAGCAAAGACGGGTCTTTCCGGGGAGTTCTTGGGGGTTGCTGTGATCTTGTAGGAGCTGGCACCAGTGTGGCCGCTCCACTGCACTGTCATGCTCTTGGATGTCACTGTAAACACTGACAACCTGATGTCTGAAGAAGATAAAGCAGAAAGTGTGATTAAAGGGGAATGTGATTAATTTACATCTTAAAGTATCTTAACTATTAAGTATCTGAAATATGAAAGAAGCTCTGTTACCATTTTGAGCCATGCATATCTGAAAGTGAGAAAAAAAGTCAGTTTAATGAATGAAACAATGAATGATCTTGTTAATGAAAGTCAGGAAATACAGTCAATTAAAGACAAGGGTATCCTTCCAAAGATAGTAAGCTTCTGCTATTCCACATTATATCCTGAGGCAAATTATGCCCTGTATCACATTCTCAGAGCATGAGAGGCAGCAGGCTGCACATTACCTTCACTCAACACAGATTTCAGGACTGGTCAGTGCAGGTATTTCTTTCAGGTCGGAATGAATTTGTCTATTGAGGTACGGCTGGGCATGCCGCTCGCACTTGTTGAAAGCCGTGATACTCAAAAGGGCCTGTGTTCATATGTCTCAAACGTCCTCTACTCCCTGCTCTCTATCTGGATTTATGCAGCATGCACAATATCAAAACATTTTACCTTTGATGTGGAAAACACTGTAAATTACTTTGGTTTAAATTAACACTGAATGAGAAAATAAGAACATCTTACCCCACTGAAGGTCAATAAAAACAAAAGCTTCAGCATCTTTAACTGCAACGTCCCCATGCCCTCGGTGTTTTTCTGCTATCCACTGCCTCGAGGTGAGATGCTGTTTCTCAAACTGATTTTAGGGAAGCAACTTGGTCTTAAATTTTTTACTTTCTTCTCTTTCTTCTACCTTCCTCTCTCTCCAACATGAAATGACAGGTGTGTTATTGTTTCAGCAAATACCAAAGAGCCCACAGGCTGTAACTCCTCCCCTCAGGGGTGTCTGTCTGTCTCTTGCCTATCAGACCTAGACAAGGAAGCTCACCTTTGTTAGATGACAATGTTGATGATAACACTTGTATAACAAATGAATGTTCATCTTTTCTAGTCTTTATGACGTGAATTAAAAAAATAAGCACAATACTTTCCTGTATTACTGAAGATCTTACTTTTCCCTGTGAGGACAAAAGAAGGTTACACTATATCATATTCCACTGAGGCGTGGCGTACTCTTTTGTGGGAACTGACCTCAAACTTTTAATTTAGGACAACATGTCTTATCATTGATTCCGAGTACAACTGAATGCATAATCTGATGATTTGCATCCACATTTTTCTTTTCTTATTTAGTAACATTTTTGGTCAACTTATTTGTTAAGGTAAAAAAAAATTGATATACAGTCCACCCAATATAAAAGTGCTCGCAACAAAGCTCCACTTTCTCTACCTCAACCCGTCAATTTAAAAGACCATTTCTGACCTGAATAAAAAGCACATAAAAACCCTACTCCAAATGTGATCAGCATATCTGCTGAGAGACATGTCTGGGGCTGGGGAGAACATACGTGAATGCATATGACAGACGGGGAAACACAAGGATGGAACTGCATGATTGGGAGCCGGGGAACAAGGAAGATGGGGAGAGGGGAAGATGTAAACACAGATGACACAACAGATACATACTGGCGAGACATAAGAGGAACATAATAGACAAGAAACTAATCTGGGGATAAAAGGGAACTGCAGAGTATGGAAAGAATAAACTCATGACTACTTAATGGAACCTAAATCATCATTATGATACAAAAAACACTCCCTTGGACTTGAATTTCTTTGAACTGTTCATTTTGTCGGCTGGAATGATTGTAAAGCATACATACTTGATTTGAATTTCTCTGATTCCTGCAGGGTCAAAAGTGCATATTTAGGCTTAAATATATACATCCACCCCCACTGATATTTTGTTAAACGTCCCTTGTAAGTTGCACTTCGACCCGATGATTTTGGTTGCCATAAAAAAACTTCTGGCATAATTCTGGCCAGATATTCAACCACTCTTTTTGGCAGAGTGGAGTTGAGTTTTAAAAGCAGTTCACAATTTTTCCGCCCGTTCCAGATCAGGGCTTTGGTGGTTCCTGAGTTGTTCCATCTGAACCAAATACGTCTCGTCTGAGGGTGGCAGTTTGGGTCATTCCAGGCCTAAGCAAAGTGGTGACACATCTGATTAACTTATGCTTAAGAAAAATTACTTGAGGTAATGAGCCTGGAATCTGCAGTTGTTTAAAAATGGCTCCAAGAGAGATCTCTCCAAACTCAATCTTCAATTCTCCTTAAATCGACACTTAATTCATTTGGGTTTTCCCATTGTTCAGAGCAACTGGTCAATTCACTAAGTACCGTCAAACAAATAATTTTATGCTGGCAAAAAGAAACTAACAGTCCTAGTAAACCATGATTACTTATAAAAAACTTAACAGGCCTTGGCCTTGTCAAGTTAAAAGACACCATTTAACCTTCAGAGCCACTATTAACATCGAGTGTATGTATTTCAACCTGTAAGGATACTTTTGACCTTGTGCAGTTTAGAGAAAATCCAAAATATATTCAAATGTACAACAAATTCTTACTTTTAAAGTCAATAAAGATGGGTTCAATAAAATCATTAAAAGCCTAAGATTGCCATGAAATTCATGCCCATGATAAGTATTTGCAAACTTGTCTATGGAGCTTGGAAAGAAAAGCGTCTGGACTTCAAGTTTCCTTGAAGATGTTTCAACTCTCATCTGAAAAGCTTCTTCAGTTCTAAGAGTAATTGGTGGAGAGTCCCAAATTTTAAGTCTTATGGAGTGTTGCAAACTTCTGATCATAAACATTGAACTTAGTTTCTCTCCTTATATTCAATTTGAACACTTATGCCCCACCTCTGCAGCCCACCAGGAAAGCTTGCCCCATAGTTTGGTAACCAGTGGTCTACACCACAGCCAACTTCACCTACTTTGGGAACAACAGTTCAGGAATGTTGCTTGGACACTTCTTTTTCTATAATTACGTCCAGAACAACAACGAAATTCAATATCTCAAAACAACAAAAACTGAGCACAGTCTGGCACCAGCGGGCTGTAGCAGTGACAGGAAAAGAAGCACAAAGCTGTCTAATAGAAACTACAAGTAACAAGAGACAGTTTCTGTAGCACCTACAAGCCAGCAGCAATGGGCAGTAACACTGTCAGATGAGCACAATAAGGAAAAGGACAAAAGTTGATTTGAACTAAAGACAGGTTTTGTCCTGAAAAACAATATGACCTGACACAGATTAGATGTGCCTCCTTTTCCATGTTGGTGTGCATCCTTCTTGGGAAGAAAGTAAAATAATAGAAGCAATACTGGGGTGTTCAGTAACACATAGCATTGTGAAAAGATCAAGTTTACATTTATTGCTCCATCTCATAAGAGACATTGTACTGTATTATTAATGATGGCTTCACTATGGGATCACACGGTGTCTTACAGTCATAATTGAACACATTTTGGGCACTAGTGAGAATATAAACGTTATTCATCCACATAAATTTTTGCTGATGTTTTAGTTTTTTCTTTTATTTATTCAGTTTTATTTAACTCACAGGTAAGATTTGAAGGTTTTACTCTGAGACTGAAGTGATCCCTCTTTTTTCTGTTTAAAACAACACAAAAAATAAACTCATCGGGTATCCTATGAACTGGCAAATGGATGAAGGATGAACTCCTGGTGTTTCCTTCCACCTAGTGGTTGCATGTGGTGCAGTTTCCTTTGTAGTTGAGCCATAGCCAGATCTGTAGATAGCCTCCTGGCCATGCAGTCAGTGGTTGACTTTATGTTGTGAACTAGGTATTCCACTATTTCACTAGAGAAATACGTGTTTTATTTTACAAGTGAGGCTGTTTTTTTTTAATGTGGTAGAAGTCTGCTGCGAGGACCAAGCGGTGCCATCTAAGGACTGGATGCCACTGGACGTGCCTAGAAAGGACACTCTCAATCTGAAGGCCACCTGTTTCCTGGGAGGGTGGTAGAATACAACGATTTGCAATTTTTTTTAAGGATTAACGTTTTTACTGAGATCTCAGGACACTTTATGTTGCTACTTTTTTTTTCCTTTTTGGGTCAGATCTGATTCCACTTAACACAAAAACTGATGCATCTAAAAGCAAAACTGTGACTAAAGACAATTCAGATAACTTGAACACTTACCAAATACTGAATGCGAAGTGCACTGAACTGAAATGGACGGCCTACCTAATATATTTATGGACACTTGAAGTGATATATTGGACATTGTTGAAGATAACATGTTGAAATGATTTAAATGTTGTTAATGTCTATGTTTTTGGACCATTTAAATGTTGAATACACTCAAATCACTTTTTTCCTTTAAGTTGTTGTCAGTGTCTCATTCTGAGTGGAGGGTTTTTCCTTCTTTAAGTTGAGTTACCACTGCCAGTCTCCTTACGATCCTAACCGAACCCAACAAGAGGAGATTCTCAGATAATGTTTTTTTTCTGCTTCCACTTGTCTTTGCACTAGGATGATGTCGGCGTAAATGTGCAGTCATATTCGTTGTGTTCCCACTTGTGCTTTCAGGTTAATCTCGTTGAAATGACCTTAACGCCACAACACGGCAAATCTCCGTTAACGAGCTACCGCCGATCGCTCCGTGCATGGGGCTAGACGGCCAACACGTTAACGAGCTAACTGCGCTAACACACTAGTTCACACCAATGTAATTGAGCATTGCGTGGCACATCCAACATACTGTTTTACTTTAGTCCATGACTCGCTTACCTTCAGGGTCATACCTCACATGAAA